TCTTCTAAAATCCAGAAATCTGGGCTGTGTACTACAATGCCAAGGTCAGGAAACTACTCCGAGCCCCGCGAACCTGCTAACCCAGCAACGGGTGCCTTCACTGAACTCCTAAGTGCAGTTGCTTTCCAGCAATGGGGCTCTGGGCGAACCAAGTCTGTGGCATTACAGACAGCTCTCCTCAGTTCCCATAAGAAAGATCTGTCTCCTTTATGGCAGTGGCTCATTTACCTTCAGAGTCCTTTTCGTAGAAAACACCGTGAGGATGGATTGTATACGGTCGACTAGCAAAATTTTTTAGGTGTACTTTAATGGTGTCACCCACTTCTGCTCGGATGACAGGCCCAAGGAACCCCAGCCAGCCAGGTTTGGGAATCTCAGTGGTGTACGTAGAGTCTGTGTATTGCTTATAGACGGATTTCTTGTATGTGCTTCCCACCCTGTCTTTGCCAGACTGGAGGAATGTCGAGGCCTTGCTGTTAAATTCAGAAAAGGGAAAGGCACCATGAGTCACGCATTATATAAAACAGCCAGTCGATAACAGCAGTGACGACACCACGCAGCTTTCCCAGGTAAGCCCAGAAGCTTTGGCATTACAGGGGACCGCCTGTGCTCCACCCTGGCATGCCTTCTTTGGGCTTTTAGAAACTCACTTCGGTGCCTTCGTGGCATTTGCAGCTAAATCACAAGAGGGGAAAAAAATATCTCCTGAGCTCTCTAGCCAAAATGCACAGTCTGAAAGATGATTTTCTACTTAACAGATTCTGAATTACTTGCAGGGTGGCAGGTAGGTACCCAGCACGTAACCAGCCTCCAGAGTTAAAACCTCATACAGGTACTAAAGTTCAGCTCATGACTATATTTGCTCTTTATGGCCAATTCTCAGTAGATATGTGATGAATCACGATCCAGGGATTGGTGGGATCAGCCTAAATGAGAGGTGAGGTTCCTCCTCCCACTTCCCCCTCAGTATCGATCGCGCTGCAGCACCATGCATAGCCCTGACAGGCAGGCCGGCCCTCCTGCTGTCTCCAGAAGGCAAACAGTTGAGACCAAACCACCGAGCATGGCCCTTGGCATTCAGAACTGTGAAGGGCTGGGCCCAAGCTAGGCAACCTGGAGCTCAGCCCTTCGCGAAGTCATCCCTGCAGCCGCTGTTAGCAAAGACTTTACAGATAATTCATACTTCATTTTGCAGATCTGCCTCTTTTCCCCCCACATGGTCCATTTCTTCCCAACAAAAAAATATTCTTCAAGCACTTTACCGCCTCTGTCATTCATATCAATATCACATCCTTTTCTTATTGATAGCAATTTGGTTTCTGCCATCATTGTACAAATAACTCCCATTAGCTAATTGTCTGCAGTGACAGAACAGTTTCAAATTGCTTTTAAGCTTAATGGCCTTGAATTTCATTTTCTTCTCTTCATGTGTTACGAGAGAAAGCAAACAAAAATCACTGCGTCCGTTACCACGGCAGGAGCCAGCAACAACATCTTTATTAATCCTGAATTTTGGGGGTGGGTTTCCTTTTCTGCCAGCTAATTTAAGTCTATTCAGCACCTCCAGAGAACAGAGACTTTTCCCACACCAAACTGACAGACCTTGCTGTTTTTCTGCGAATCCCTCCAAT